CACATTCTTTTTGTTAGTACAGTCGGTACTCAACCAGAGGATTGGGATTCCAGCAGCAGTGGGCTTTTGCGCAGGTACCCCGTAAAAGGTGGCCGAGACCTGGAGGAAAGCCATCTTCCCCAGATAGGGACTCTTTCATTAATTTGTTGTGTGGTGTAGTTGAGCTCTAAAGTATACTTTAAAAGACACCAATGTTCCGCAATCGTTAAGTGTATAAAAATAGCTCTATTCAACATAGGTTGTATAGGTTAGTAAAGGACTGATCGTTAAATTTTCCCAAAAGTTGTGACTAAGCCTCGTGGTACCATTGAATTTCACTTCCCGAACATTTTTCTTCTTCCCGGCTGCAGTTTCTTGCAATTTTTACCTCGGCTTGGTTTGCCAGTTATCCCAAAGAGAATAGAAGCCGGGCTGCGTTGGTGTAGAGTGCAATCCCAACATGTTTCCACGACTGCACAACTACACAGATTCCAGTAGGTCACAGGCCAGACACAACTTTTGAGGCAAGCCGGGTCGTTGCCATGTCACATTTTTTAGTAGGATTTTTGATGAGGCAAACTTGTATTTGCTGTCACAATCGACTACATTACTTGTATTCGTTACGAGTAATTTTCGAAGCCTACTCAATATGAGAAATGTATGAGTTCACCAAAATGATAATCAAGCTGATCAACTTGCTATCCCAAAAATTTTAGGTTAGAATACCAAGATGATGTAACCACAGGTCTAGTTGCAATCGCCTTTATCTGCATAGTCTTGGCTTGACCTTGTCTTTGTAATTTGGTCAGTGTGACAGATACACCTTGTGAAACGTCACTAGTACTGTGTCATCTGCCAGAGAAGTAATAATAGGTCTTAGCATCGGGCAGTCGATTTGGTACATTTTTAGACGTTTAAACAGCAAATTGATCAAGAGGATTGCCTTCTCTTTTCAGTTTGATGAGTTGTAACTCGTTGCTAGGCCTGGCGCCTCTCACTGACAATGCTGAACCAAACGTCTGGTAATGTACCTAGTCAAAGATCCTCTGCTGGAAATTATCATAACTACCACGGCAGAAGACACAAAAAAGGTTATATTTAATAAGTTTACTATTTCACCACGGCCGAGTTGCCCAAACCAATAAAATAAAAAAAACACAATCGACAAGAAAAATGGCCCGTGATGACGACAAAGTGGTACGATTTGTTGGTCCAACAAGGATTTAAGTAGAAAAATTTGGGAATAAAAATTTCACATGAAATGATAGACCATATAAAAAGGGCGGGCAGAAAGGTTAAATCTGCATATCGTGCTATGAGAAGGCTGATATTAGGAGGAACTAGGTTTCGGGGCTTACCGCCCCATCAGGCTTTCTTAAAGAGGTCCCTCGTACTACTGATGTACTGGCAGTCTCTAAACTCTACTTAAAATGCGAAAATTAAAGTAACTTAGTCGATTGTTATAGCAAATATACGTTTGCTTCATCGACAATCCCACCAAAGCATGTGATATGGGAAAAGGCCTGGACTCCCTTGAAATTCACATCTGTCCTGTGACCCAAGGGCACTCGTGGCAATGCGGCCTAGTGGTCAACGGGTTAAGCTCCCATTCTGCACTGTCACGGTTCGATTCCCGTTGGGGGTGTGGATAAGACCGATGCGAGGTGAAACTGCAGTCCATCCTGGATTATAACAACTTTTGGGAAAGCAAAGCTCTGTGAAATTCAATGGAAACGTCAACACCACTTATATAATTGTAGGAAAATTCTTCTACCAGTTCTTCATCACCTTAAACCATATTGGATGAAAACATCGCATATTACTGATTTAATGGTAGTCTCGAAACTCTACTTAAAATGTGAAAAATTAGTTTGTCAGAGCAAGATCATCGAAGGATCAGCACGGATTCATCGTAATCGCAGAATCGTGAACTGAAAACTTCTGCCCTCCAACCAGTACTCACAACGTTAAGACCAGCTTCTCTCGGTTTCTAGCAGAGGCAAAGTAGACCAATCCCTTCCATTCATTGTTCAAGTGAGATGTAAGTTTAATCAACATGAATAAGAAGGGACATGTTTTGTGAATTAGGGCATATTGTCAAATGGTCAAAATGTACTTGGGTTTCGCTAAGGAACCAACAAAAACGATCCGTAAAATCATTCAGCAAGACGTTACTTAAAAGTGTTCCTACTGTCAATTCTAATTTATTTTTTTAAATAAGGAATTCAATTGTGCTTATAATTCACCACTTATTCTAGGGTGTCGCAGAGATTGGCAGTAATTCTGCCCATACTTAAGTGAAATGATGGTTTAAATTGTGCTCTAAATTTCACTTTCCATCCACCTCAAAAGACTTTTCCCATCGAGGCTGGGCTCTAAAAAATCGTAATTGATTCATGAACATCGCAAATGCTACCCAACATTTAAACATGCATCGACATTGCAAGATCAGACTTTAATTAATTTATGTAAAGAAACACATATTCTCTTCATGCATACACTTCACTCATCTGATTACAGCCTGATGGCTGTAAGCATTTGCAATTTTTTGTAATTAATGATTTCTGACTTCGGCGATAGTTGTCATGGCTGAGTAGATTTAAGCTTAGAATAGTAAGCTGAGGAATTCTTCGCAAAAGCCAACCCTCCCAATTGTATAGCATTCCTCCTTCGGGTTGCCGTGAGACCAATTTACAAATGACTAGAAAAGCACAACATTAATCGCATGCAAGTCGGACTCGGATATTGACTTGGCTTTCTCGTCTCATTGGCAACCCTAGCGAGATTCGAACCGTGGATGAGAGGGCCTACTAGAAAAATCTTTCTGCTTCGGCTACTTGGCTCTAGTGAGGTTTAGTTCCACGACAAGCATGACATTCAAAACGAACCAGATCTCTACGGTGTTTGGTTTGACCTCGTTTTCATAAATCGATCGGAGCGACAGTGAGACATTGTGG